ATGAGATTCTGCTTCAAGTCCGAGTGAAATCTTCTCGTCTCTCTGTAATGAGGTTTCTCTAAAGCAACCCCTTTTGTCATCACAACTGATATGTCTCTTATTGTCTGGAGAATAATGATCTCAGCCTGGCTTTTAAACATTCTAGAATCCACCTCAGTTTTCTAAACATTCTCACACTTCAGGGTTTCCGAAGTGTAGCCCTCATATCACTACTGATTTTAAGAGACACCTGAGATGAACTTTTTATTTTAGAGGCCAAGTGTTTATCTTAAGGTAGATGAAGAAAAACTGTAACTACAGTATCCAAACCTGTGATTTCATGCATACTGGGGCTTAAGAGGGAAATAAAAGAATCTGAGTTTCAAAATTTTACATAAGTACATAATAGCACAGGCAGTACTCAGATAAAAGTCTTAAATTTGGGGAAACTCCCTCTGCCTGCTTCTTTCTGAACAGGCACCCTCAATTTCAGCCATGTGTCCTTGATCACAGGCATTCTCTGCCTTTTCCCCAGCAGGTCTGTGCCCACGGAACACTGTTTCCTCTTGTAAATCTCTCTTTAAATATCACCCATCATTTCACACCCAGTTCATTCCTCCTTCCAGGAACCCCCAGATTCTTCCAGCCATCCCAGTGCACCCCCTTCTTGAACTCCTTTAACATAATTAAGGTACCACTCATTTATAACCTACTTGCTACTGCAGTGTCTAGATGTATCGATTCAGTGTCATTTCCCTAGTGAAACGAAGCCTCCTGAGAATAACCCTTAGTCTCTTTACTTCTGGATCACACAGAGTGCTAAATGGTCCTGGTGGATCTCACCACAAAACAGGAGCTCGGTGAGTGAGTGTGAATTCATCATGCAACTGAATGAAATGTTCCACAGCAATGAGAGAAGTGGCTGTTGCATGCCCTTTATATCTCTGTACTCCAGGCCAGATTTTTCAGCCACATCTCTTCATCACTGCCAGGTGAAGAGCATAGAAGCCAGAACCCAGGAAATTCTATCCAAAGGTGTGATTCTGTGGGTGTCCCCTGGCCAACGAGGGTGAGAAAGGTGACCTGAGCCATCCCGGGTACAACTTATCTGTTTACAAGGGCCAATCACCTCTGCCGCTGTGTCCTCACTCTGGAGGAACCAGAGTGGTCACAGCATCCTGTAGTGAAAACAATGCTAGATGGGCAAACAGAATCAGCTCCACTACTTGATTCATCCTGTGGCTTTGGCCTTTTTGTGTCTCAAGTTTCTGAATCTGTCCAGTACCTGTCATGACTAATTCACACTTGCTATAAGGCAAAAGACACTGATTTTGAAAGCACTTAAAATTCTCATGTACAATAAAAACATCAGGGACACAGCACATGAATCTGCAGGGAGAATTAGATGGGGAGGCCAAAGGGCCCAGTTCTCCACTGGGCAAGTCGTGGGCAATAGAAGGTGTGGTCCCTACATCCAACCCTCCCCCATTTGCTTCTCATGTGACCTCAGGTACTCACTTAGCTTCTTTGGGATTCAACGTCCTTATCTGTGAAATTTGCCTGTGCACTAGATGATCTGATCTAGGGCCAAGTCCAATGTGAATTTGAGAACGTGAGAATGATAGTCAGGCAAGACTAGTGCCCACTGCACACTTCACTGGAAGTGCTCAGTAGTGGGGCTGGGGCCCCTTGTGCCCAAGATTTGGGTGGGTCCTGGCAAAGTACCACCAGAGACACTCAGATACCCTTCCCTCCAACCAGCATCTGTTTTGTGGATAAAAGTAGACCTGTTGTTCATCCTACTCTCTCTCCACCTGACTGTCCAACTCCCTCATATGCAACATACATGACAAAAGGCCCCACTTTCTCACTGCCGTAGGCATGGTTTTTTCTTCCCCTTTTTCTTTTCTAAAACAACTTCAAAATCACAGGTTTTTAGTGTTAAGATCTGGCTCTGAAATTAGTTATCCCTTCAGCTCCCCCTCAGACACGCACTGCTTTCATGATTGAAAGGGCTACAGGCCACGTGTGGAGGGGAAATGCGGGAATAAATGGGAATTCTCGTGGTGGGAGGGAGGCAGCGGCAAAGGCCATTGGTGAACTGGTAGGGAATGGAATGGCCCTGTGTTCTTTGGGATTCCATTAAGGTCTGCCTGCTTCCCAAAGTGTAAGCCACAAATCTCCTAGGGTTGTAGTTGCTGTGGTTTGTTAGAGCTTCCCTGTAAGCCCTGTAACCATGGTTTCGGGCAGACTGCATCACAGCCGTGAGCATAAAGGAAAGAGGCTTTTTCCTATTTTCCCCTAAAATTCTGTCTCCTTAAATATGTACACACACACACACACACAGACACACACACAGTGATATGCCAAGATCACTCATGTGCAGCCTTTGACCCTAGGAAAAAGTTATTCATTTTTAATAACTGAACATCTCTCCATGAGAATCAGATATCTCTCTTTTTGTATAGACCAAAAAACCGTGAAAAAAAAATCCACCCCAAACTACACCTGCTCTGGGTGCAAACAAGTAAGAAATCTGAAAATAAAGAAATCCATTTCCTAATTTAACAGCTTCCCTCCAAAAAAGAGCTAAAAACAAGGTTGCTTTTCTGAGTGCCAAGGTTGAATGCATTTGGCTTATTGCATGTGGACAGGGCCTATTTCCAAGTCCATAATATTTTGACAATGCAATCAATTAACTCAGCTTCAGACTTAGAAATAGTATCGCATTAAACAGTGTCTTGAAAGTCAAAACAGGGAAACAATATAACTTTAAGTAGGATTCAAAGCACTGACTTTCAACTACTCACAAAAGCAGAGCCATTTTTAGAATACAATACTCGCTCTGGAAGGATGGGCAATGCATCTGGCGCAATAAGCTCGGCTGATGTCTCTGGGACCCCGGAGGGGGCTAGAGAAGAAGGCATTTTTCTCCCTGTATGTCAGAAGATGGGCTAACCACCTCGCAACAGAACAGAAATGGAGCTAGCTTCCTCCCGGAGGTAAAAAATAAAACAGCTCCTCACTCGGCTACGCAGGACAAAGCAGGACGTGAAAGAAGCCTTCAGCCTAGGGTTCCACGTGCCTCTCCAAGGACGGAGGCGCCCACCCACACACAATCACACACGGCCGGCCCACCACGCGCCTGGGGGAGGCGCTGGGTTCTCCGCCAACCTTCAGCACCCGCGGCTCCGGGCGCCCAGCTAGCGAACTCCTCGTAGCACCCCCTGTCTGGAGGGGGCAGAGGGCCGTACTGTCTTTCCAAGTCTCATCTTCCTTGCCCCAATGCCTACTTCTCCTCAGCTACGAAGTGGAGAGTGCTTCCCCAAGGGAACTGAGTCATATACACACACACCTCCCAGAGGGCAGTAAGTCCCCGCGCTCCACGACCAAAGCCAAGGCCGCGAGTCTTCCCCTGAGACCCCACAGCCAGGCTCCTGGACCGGGAGACGCTCGACTCACCCAATCCTCAAAGTGGCGGCTCCCGTTCTGCAGCAGCTCCTCAAACTGGATGGTGCAGTTGGCCACGAAGTCGTCGTAGCCGATGGGGGCATCGTGGAAGACGGCCAGCTCGATCTTGCGCCCGTTGCACACATCGGTGACGAACTCGTCGTGCCAGGCCGGGCTGTTGGTCTTCTGCTTGGTAGCTGTTTGGCCGATGCGCGAGTCGTCCACATTGAGGGCGATGTAGGGGTCGAGAAGGAAAGTCTGCGGCCGGGGTCCCACCGCATGGCGCAGCGACCAGGCTGTGGGCTTCAAGCTCACGGCCTCGCAGATTTTGATCTTAAGAAGGCCATTGAACACTACCATGGTCGGGGAGGGGAGTGGGGGCCGGGGTCACTCCGTCCGCCCCGAGGGCAGAAACGAAGAACCGACGCCGCGGCGCTCCGAGCCACGGGGACTCGTGGGTCCCCTCTAGCCCCACCCCACACTCTCCCTACACCTTGTAGCGCTGCGCCCTGGCGCGGGCGATTCTCAGCCAGTGCATGTATTTCCTCGCCGGGTTCCTAACGGAAAACAGGGAGGGGGGGGAGAGCTGGGGGACGTCCGTGTTTGGAGCAAGTCTCTCCCCCCCTACCACCAGCGGCACATCCAGAAGAGGAGACGAGCTGTCGGCTCCGCTGCAAGTCGCGGGGGCTGTCTCGCTAGCTCTCCCGGTCCCGGCTGCGGGGAAGCGGGCGCCGCGCCCGGAGCTTACCTACCTTTCGGAAACATAATCCCCGGGAAATTTCGACTCCGGGAGGGGGAGGGGGCGGTGGGACGGGGCGGGGACGAGAACCCAGGGCGCAGATTTCAACCCGGATCCGCTTCGCACACCCAGCGCCTGCCTCTGACCGCGCGGGGCGGGGGATGGACCGAGGGATGTGCAGTCTATCCGGAGGGATGCATGTCGAGAGGAAATGGTCCTCCTCGGAGCCAAATTTTTAAAAATCCTCAAGCCACTCGGCCAGCCTGGCCACTCCTCTTGAGCGAAGCCGCGCCGCGCGGCAGTTGGCGATCGGGAGG